AACTAAGGAGGGCTTACTACCTCATAGTACTCCAAGTTATCCATGGGAGAAACTTGGAACAGACTTGTTTCAATTTAAAGGTGTTACCTACCTCAAATGCTGTTATTAATAATCTCAAATCTATCTTTGGAGATTATGGTATACCTCAGCTATTAATTCCTGATAATGGTACCCAGTATAGTAGTGCTGAATTTACACAATTTTGTTCTACATGGGGGATAGAGCATATTACTTGCTCACTGCTTTATCCTCAAAGCAACGGCTTTATTGAAAGGGTGGTGCAAACAATAAAAATATATCTTAGCTATGTTAACTACCTGTGGATAACAAATTACCGCTCCTTTGTGTCTTGCTCAATAACCGTGTTTATAGAACAAAAATTGATGATGATTTCCTGGATCAATTGTCATATAGGCAAACAAAAAGAGCAATACGATATGAAACACAATAGTAAATCTTAAGTTAGAAGTGAATCAAAAAGTTGTAGTGTTTGACCAGAACTCTAGAACATGAAATCCTGGTATTGTTGAGAAACAAGTTTCTACACCTAGATCCTACATTGTATCTAATGAACATGGTAGCAAATTTCGTCTAAATAGATCTGTCATAAAGTCTATTGATAATCATGCTAGAACCAACAGTGGTCGCATAGTTAAACAAAAAGGCAAATTAGATTTGTAACCATTGTTCATCAGTCATACCTCTTATCAATTGTATTTTTATCACATTTAAGATAAGTGTTACGTATTTAGTTTGTTATTTTTTTAAAGGGGAGATGTGAAGATATCATATTAATACTATGTTTCGTTTTCTGTATTGTTGGAATACATACAAGCTGTAAGAAACAATAGTTCAAGGTCATTGATAAAAACATGCTCTTCTATGCAGTTGTTGTGACTTGAACCCCATATTAAAGAAATATACACACTTATGTACAGTCTGGATAAACTAAAAAAAGACTTTTTGACCTTTCTTGATAGGTAATTCTCTACGAATTTAGCTAATTAAGAATTAATTATGGACATGTGAGACAAACTGGTATTTTTCCCACTTCATTAGAACACCTCTACTTTCTATTCATATAAGTATTAAAATTTTCATTTTGCCTTGACTTTAAGATTTTTTAGATTTTTTGAAAATTCATTATTAAGCCACTACAGAATTTGTTATCATTTCTGACAGATGGTAGGGGGTGTATTTTACCTTGACTGGCAAGCTATCTTAGGTATTATGATACCTAATATGAATTAATGTTAGTCCTATATATTTATTTTGTTCAGATTTTATACTGGAATATAAATTGCGAGGATGAAACAAATGGGGAAATATTCTGCCTTCAATTAGCAGAATTGCTACAGATTACAAAGAAGGCAATATTTCAATATGGGTGAGTTTTTACAAAAGAGTCTGTGATGAAAGGCATGTATGATTTTTTTGGAGATAGTGATTGAAAAATATTCCAGTGTTGTTTCATGTGAAATGTACAAAATCAATTAATTCCAGGTACAGAAACAAGTCAATTAGTTAAGTTACAAGTGTATGAATGTGAAACATTTCTCAACATATAAGATTTACACACAGTTATTTCCCTTTAAACATTTAGAAAATAATATCTAGTAAAAATCACGGGTAAAAATATGTGGTTGTCTCCCTTGAATTTCATTTTTTATGAATAATCCCTGAAAAAAAATACAACTAAAGCCACACCTGGCAAATGTAGCAATTTGCAAAAAACCCTGAAAAAAATCAACTTTCGACCATAATTAGGTCGAATGCAAGAACTGTCTAAAGTTTTCATTTTTTAGAAGATTGTAATACCGAATGCCAGACATCATAAATGAAAGTATTAGCAGATAGCCAAGGTCAGTGTCCTTTGATCTTTGTAAAGGAGAAGATAAAAAAAGATCAAGATCATGCGATATAAGTCATCAAAATTTCAAACTGCATATGACTTTAAAACCGGAAGTTTACATAGGACAGTAAATATAAAAGTATAAATAGATAGCCAATACCGAATGCCAGACATCATAAATGAAAGTATCAGCAGAAAGCCAAGGTCAGTGACCTTTAATCTTTTACAGGAGAAGGTCAAAAAAGGTCAAGATCACGGGATATAAGTCATCAAAATTTCAAATTGCTACAAAACTGGAAGTTAACATAGGACAGTAAATATAAGATAGCTTGCCAGGCAAGGTAATATATGCCCACTGGAAGCTTTGATTTTGAATAAAAATATTTAGCAGTACAGTAACAATCACCAGTATGAAATATTCAACCTTCAGTCATACACTTCATTTGAACTCTTTAGGGCAATACTGAATAATTTTGAGTACGAGTTATAGCCCTTGTTCTTGAAAACGTGTTCAATTTTTAGCTTGTGAACACTCTAAAGGCAAATATTCAATCTTCAGTGCGGGATTGAATAATAAAACCAAGTATTGTCAAAATCCAGCAACAATCATGCCTTTTAGTGTTTTAGAGCTAAATTTGAAAGCAATTTCAAAAACAAGGGCAATAACTCATACTAAATATTTTTCGATTCTTCTAATTTTCAATAGGGTTCATCCTTGGGTGATAACCAACACTCAAGCCAAATTTCGTTAAAATCCATCAAGAATTGTCCCTTCTACAGTGTTTACGAGCAAAAAATTGAATGCGTTTTCAAGAATAAGGGCAATAACTAATATGAAATATTTTTCAATTTTTGTGATTTTCGATAGGGTTTATCTTTGGGTGATTAAAAACACTCACACAAAGTTTCGTCAAAATCAATCAAAAATTATGCCTTCTAGACTTTTTACAAGCTAATATTGAACGCGTTTTCAAGAACAAGGGCAATAACTCATACTAAATATTTTTCAATTTTCCTGATTTTCGATAAGGTTTTTCCTTGGGCGATAACAAACACTCATACTTAGTTTCATCAAAATCCGTCATGAATTGCACCTTCTAGAGTGTTTACCAGCGTTTCAAGAACAAGGGCAATAACTCATAGTAAATATTTTTCAATTCATCTGATTTTCAATATTGTTCATCCTTGGGTGATTAGTAACAACCATATCAAGTTTCGTCGAAATCAGTCAAGAATTGTGCCTTGTAGAGTGTTCACGAGCAATTGTGGACGGACGGACGGATGGACGGCCAGACCGACCGACCGACCGACCGAAAGAAGTGACGGCAATATACGCCCCCCATTTCATGTGGGCGTGTAAAAAATCGAAAAATATTTATTTATTGCCCTTGTTCACTTGTAAACACTCTAGAAGGCGCAATTCTTCATGGATTTTGATGAAACTTTGTGTGAGTGTTTTTTATCACCCAAATATGAACCTTATTTAAAATCAAAAAGATAAAAATAAAAATGTGCTTTTCATCTCTTTCCAGTGATATATAACAATTGTTTTTTAAGAAAAAATGAAATTCTTAAATTTGAGCGTTTTTACAATTTTTTTCCTCTTTGACTTGAGTTTAATGCATATCTGTATAAGCTTGAAATTTGGAACACATCTAGACACTTCGAATATGAATTCCTCTATTTAAAAGATAGCTTGCCAGGCAAGGTAATATACGCCCACTGGCACCTTGATTTTAAATAAAAATATTTGGCAGTACAGTCACATTTACCAGTATGAAATATTCAACCTTCAGACATACACTTTTTGAGGCGATACTGAATAATATTATAAGTTTCATCAAAATCTGTCAAGAATTGGGCCTTACAGGCTAAAACTTGAACACATTTTTAAGAACAAGGGCAATAACTATTTTTCGATAGGGTTCATCCTTGGGTGATTACATACACTCACACCAAGTTTCGTCAAAATCCATCAAGAATTATGCCTTCTACATTGATTACGTACTACAAATTGAACGTAGGGCAATAACTCGTACTAATTATTTTTCGATTTTTCTGATTTTCAATAGGGTTCATCCTTAGGAGACAACAAATACTCAAACCAAGTTTCGTAAAAATCTGTCAATAATTGAACCTTCTGGAGTGTTTAAGAGTCAAAAATTGAACACGTTTTCAAGAACAAGGGCAGTAACTCATATTAATTATTTTTCAATTCTTCTGATTTTCAATAGGGTTCATCCTTGGGTAATAACTAACACACACACACACAGTTACGTCAAAATCCGTCAAAAATTGCGTCTTCTAGCGTGTTTACGAGCTAAAAATTGAACGATTTTTCAAGAACAAGGGCAATAGGGTTCATCCTTGGGTGATTACGAAAACTCATGTAAAGTTTCGTCAAAATTCATCAAGAATTGTGTCTTGTAGAGTGTTTACGAGCAATTGCAGACAGACACAGGTGATGACAATATACGCCCCCCATTTTTCTTTTTGCACATGTTGAACTGTGGCACTTTTTTTTGCAAAAATGTTCCAACTTATCAGGAACTCGTGGCCTATGTACAGAATGTCTATGAAATTGGAATAGTTGCTGCAAATACTGCAGTCTAAGCAAGGAATGTGTGTAAGTTTCAAAAAAAAAAAAAAAGGATTGACAATTCGATAACAAACTGGGACTTTGTTGAATTCTTTTCTTTTTTTTTTTTTTAACTAGATGATGCCCTAGATTTATTTTGCCACAGCAACACATTGATATTGACTCCAAGGAAGTTGGTTACGATTCTGTCTGTATGAGGTAAGTTTGTAATTAAGTTTGGTTTCTAAACCTAAGGTTCTTGTGATGTGAGCATTGTGTACCATTCCCAAACCTTGCTCACGTTTTAGCTGTCAGTCGTTGCATTCTTCTTGTGTGTTTTTTATTGTTGTAAGCCCTACATGCCATTCAACCGGTTTTTTTACCCTTGGTGCTTATGTTTTTTCTGTATTCAAGGATCACATGATTTTCACTTTTTTAGAAACTTTCCACCACAATGAGCAGTGATCTGGTATAATCCTTACAAAAGCTATTGTTGTGTTTTGGCAATGTAATTTGGATGGATAAGTTTCGAATTTGCTATATATTTTTGGCAATTTTAGTGCAACATACCTTGTAAAGCTTTAAAACCTTGTAATGGTACCCTAGAACTCCCAGTAACAAACTGTAACAATCTGGCTCTCATCTCATCATTATAACAATCTACAGCTCTCCAAAACCATTTTGTTATATTGCTATCATTTGTGCAGTGTTTTAGTCGAGTATATTTCTTCCAATCAACAATATCTATTTTACCTAGACCACCTATCATCAACTGAAAACCAATATCATTTTATTAGCTTTTATTTCTTAGTACAGTTACCAATCAAATTTCTAATTGAAATCAGAACATGTCCATGTATTGAGTTTTCCGCATTGACCCAGATATATTTGATTACTTAGAGCAGAGGTCATCAGGTCGGGTCAAAAGATTGGAATGAATGTTCAAGGCTGACGTTAGACCCTATATGTAGTGGCTACATTAGAAATAAAAGCTAACAAAATACAGAGCAAAAAGTTTGTTCTAATTTTAGTTAGACTAATCTGTTTTATAATTTGATTTTCCATGCTACATGGGGAAATAATGCTCTTAATTTGGATGTATTTAGCCTATATTGGTGACAGCTGAAATTTCTTACTGTGAACAAAAATGAAATAATACTAATATTACCTCAAGCTCTCTTTCATCAAAGGGAAGTAATAAATGTTGTGGAATGATTTCATGAAATCCTTTTTGCAATGCTGAAAACTGGGAATCTATGCCTTGTAAAAATCTCCATTGTACGTACAACCTGTAATTAAATTAAAGTCACTGTAAATGATAACTTCTGATTAATTTGGAAATATTTATATTATATAATCAAATTAAAGTCATAACTAAACTTCAAGCTTAAGCACCATACAACATTCTATCAGTTTGCAGGCATAATTAATATTAAATATAAAAAAACATTGACATTTCTTATTATAATGTGCATGCCAACAATGAATATACCAATGACAACATTATTCCTGTATAATATCAGTCTCCAGTAGTATTTTTAAGGAGGGGGGATGTTGGCAATGTGCCATTACTAGTGCCCTCTAAAATCCATTGGGGAACTGAGGTGCTCTGATGTGGTCAGTTCCCTCCCTTGACTATTAAAACTCAATAATATATTTTCATCTATTACATTCCTTGAACTTTCAAAATGTATTGGTCAGTTCGCTATTTTTTTGTTGGCATGTACCTATTTGTAGTGTTTGTTGAGCAGCTATGAAAGGTGTGGTATGGTATGCGTACTCTTCTAGATATGTAGAAATACAATACTGGAGAGATTCATATAACCTCATTTTAAACTAAGTACCCTCAGATTCTAAATTCATTCAAATTAATATTTCATGGTCAATGAGATGTTAAGTGTTAAGAGACATACCACAGTTAATTTGGAATTGATAAATTGAAAAATAAAAAAAAAAATGCCTTTGAATGTTTGTAGTGTCCCACAAAAAACAATAGCTGAGTTGTGACATTTCTGACCCCTTAGATTTTAACCTGTCTTTCTATTTCTTAAAATAAAATCAAAAGTAATACACAATATGTAAAAGCAACCCACCAAAACCCAACTAAATTTACCAAAAATAAAATAATAATGGTCCTTGGAAATTGACCGTTCACTAGAACCATTAAACTACATTGAGAAAATATTGTCAAATCCAACTTTAATTGAAGAAAAAAGTTCAACCAGAAATCCGTTTTTCAAATTTTATTGACAGTTTCAGAGCAGGACAGTTCGATCTAGTTTAAAGTTTTAACATTTGGGACAGTTCTTTAAATATTTCATTACAAGTGTTACAAAGATTTCATTAAAGGGATTGTAAAGAGGTTTTCTAAACTTTTTATGTGCAACAGGGACTGATGAACAAAATGCTTCCAAGGAGTAACGTATCAAACGGTGTCCATATTCGATGAAGCGTCATCATTTGCTGCACTCAAAAATTAGTAGTGTATAAAGCAAACCAAAGGACACGAAGTAACTTACGTTACCTTTTTGGTTATCTGTGGTCAAGTGGTATTTTCATGAAAACCGTTCAAAAAGTTATGATGAAATCAATTTAATTGTGTTCTACAATGATTCAGCTATATAAATTGGTATACTGTTACAATTTTCCAGCACATTTATTTTAGTATGTACATGTCACTCAGTATTGTAATTCTACATAGATACCTGATACCACTTTTCATTATGAAATACTTGCTCACTTATTTGCTACTACCAATGTTTTGCCAGTATGTTGTTTGGATTTCAGGTATCATTTTAAGGTTTGGATCGTTAGTTAGTGGTTTTCTTGATTAAAAGTAGTCCAAAAGAGATTAAAAGAGCTTATTAGGCAGGTAAAGATAGGCTCAGAGAAGGGAGTACCCAGAACAAATTGTAAGATTTTGTTTCTCACCTGAAATAAGTTATATACATGTATGAACCCATACACAAAACCAGGTGGATCGGTTACCATGACAACCATGTCTTAATAGCTAAAATCCAAAATGGCGGCCATGGATTCATAAAATCATCAATATCTCTAAAACGATGCACTCTAGATAATAATGTATTAAGTGCAAATAGGAAATCGACCCCTCTGAGTTAAAAAATCACAACTTCATTGGTCTGTGACGTCATCATTTAATAAATGGGCAAAAAGGTTCACACATACATGTGTGGTTAAATTATGAATCGTCAACGCATTAAAAGTACGTAAAACATTAATAGTTATGGTGAGAAATACTGCATTAATTTCCATATTATAAACTGTAGTAACATACAAATAAAGAACGTGACATATTATGCTCCATACAAATTGTCTATAATTCGAATTCCTCATCATCAGAGTGTTCAGTAACCATTGGTGAGTTCAAACATGCTGTACCTGTACATTCGGAGCATGCACCAGTACAGTCAAATCCATTCTTTTTACATGAACATCGCTTCGAGTTACAATCACCTTTGCAGCTACATCTTATCATTTGCAGCAAAATGTCTGGTGCAGGTGGTAGTTTCATCTTGATAGCCTTGTATCTTTGATGTAGAAGAGTCCATCCCCACTCGTTTGAACTAAGATGATTATCTTTCAAGCATTGTACCTGGTGATATACTCTCATTACGTGATACTTGGCTGAGTCTGATGTCGGTGGTAAGCATTAAATGGTGACTTGCGAGTTACTTGTCGAAACTTTCTCTCGAAATCTTCGATACCGTAGCTCATTTAGCTTTTCGTGTTTGAGATCACGGTATACGGCAACTAGTACCCTTTCACCAGCTGCCATTACTTCTGCTTTTGTTGAATCTGGTTTCAAAAACAATTTACATATATTACGGAAATATTCAGATTTTACAGCCTTTTTCAGAACCATAAATTTGCCGATTCCAAACATTCTTGAAACTGTATCACAGCCTGTTAACACATGCAATAATGGTGGGATTTTACACATTTCTTCACCAAGTCTGTTTCTCAGAGTACCAATATCCCATTTATATCTTGAATTCTTCCTCTCAGACCCATTCTTTCTCTAATAAGCATAACGGTAAACAATTCCCTATTAACGGTGAGCTTTCTTGTACCAGCACAAATATCATTTACCTAATTTCATGCGAAAAATGTCATTTACAATACGTAGGCGAAACTAAAAACTCTTTGAGAGAAAGAATTAACGGCCATCGTTTCGACATCTCCCATCATCTGGATAAGCCTATTGGGAACCATTTCAACTCTCTCAACCATTCCCTCGCAGATATGAAGGTGGCGCCCATTCAAAAGGTCATCGCAGAAGAAGACACCAACCCTAAAAGTTCAAGACTATACAGGGAGAGCTTTTGGATGAATCAACTAAAAACTATTTCACCCTGTGGACTAAATATACAGTTTGATTCTCAAATAATCCCATTTTTTGCTCTATTCAATAACATTTCTTGCCAAGCATCCCGAATTCCCCACTATTTTTTACAAAAAATTAGTCATAGCTTATTCGAAAAATAAAAATCTACAGGATATATTTGTTCGTGGTCGACTTGACCCCACCGATGATGTAGAGTGATCTAACAGAATTAAATATTTTCATTTCTGTCTTTGTACTTTATAGTATATAATAGTCTAAAACAATTTACTTTCTATACCTGCAGCCATTAATCGCTTTTCTTCATTATTCCAGAAAATTTGAAGCAGTCAGAGTTTTTATGATTCTGTATTTTCCACAGACATTTGTCCCAATAATGTTATTTCCGTAAATGTAGATTATAAGTATTATGAATTTCAAGAAGATTTATATGATAACCGTTATGATCTTCTTTGATTTAGTTCATTGCATATTAGCATCACAATTATTGTTAACATAACTTTAACCCTGTGCCAGTGCCATATATTGAATAGTAACTGGTTACTCTTCAATCTCCCTAATCTCAGACCGGAAGAACAGTCGGCCACTTTCTGTTACGTTTGAGTGATAACATAACAGTGCTAATGTGTCATTATCTTCGCCCAGGCAAAGTAGTTACACCTTTTTGACTGGAATCAATCGCGGTTTTTACAATCAGTAAGTCAGCATCACCTACAGCCACTTTTGTTTCAATACCATTCTCATGTAACCGATTTATCAACAAATCGATAAAGTTCCTTTTGTTAGTTTCATTTGCTAAGAATGTTCCTTTATTAGACTTCAATGGCTTTTTACCACAAAAACCAACAATGGTCTGTGCCATTATGCCCTTTGTTCGCCTTAGATGAGCCTCATCTTTCGTGGATGGACCGTTGTACCCATCAAACACAACCGTAGTATTAGGAAACTTAAGCAGAAATTTTATATATGACATACATATATCATTGAAAGTGACAACTGATGAGTTTGTTTGTTTCCATGGAATCAAGTGCAATAATGAACCTCCATCTACAACGTGAAATTCCGAAATAGAAACTTCCTGAATTGTGAAGCTACCCAATGCTTCTGAAAGTTGTGCCTTGTTAGCCTCTCGCATCATACCACTATTATCAAAAAGGGATGCAGGATGACTTGTAAGTTCGTATGTAAACAGGTCAGTTATGTTGTTCATGTCTGTTCGCCTAAGATGATCAATCGCTGTTCCAAAAGCAGAGGATCGGCTTGAACGTTTTTGCCTCTAATTGTTACACTATGTTTCGTGGCCATGGTGACAACTTCGTCTTTCTTACGAAAGGAAATGTCAAGAGCATCTTTTCCATACATATTTTTCATTATTTGCACTCCAATTTCACGGGCTTTGTAGTAATTCAAGTCAGGTGCAGCAGTTTCGCCAGTTGCTATATTCTGGAGTTCATCAGAGAACTCGAAAGGATTATGCTCAATCAGATACTCTAAAACGACTCTTGTATCGTGTGTGTCACATTTGACACGGCCGCCAGCTATTTCTTTGTGCTGATCGCTACTTGTTTGTCATATGTTTGTAAAATCCTGCATGGACTCATTATACAAGGTACAAAATGGCATAGACTGAATCCATACCACGACCATGTACCAGTCCTCCGTTCCCCTTGATAGTCCGCATCATTGTCTGCTCAATAACCAAATCCTTTGACACACCTGCCCACTGTCTGTCTGACCGTCGATTTACCAAAATGTGGTTCGCAGTGTACAGTTTGCATAAATCCTGACCAACCTGGTCTGTTCGGACGCAACGGCCACGAGATCTTCCACATCAGGTCAAGTTCTGAGACGGTATTATATCTCCATTCAGTATCGAGAAGAAGTTCGTGATAATGAAGGGGCATATCTTTATGTTCATGGTAATAGAGAATAGGTATATTAGAGTTCCTTTCTCTCCTGGCTGCTAATTCTGTTCCTGTGAGACGTGTAATGGTTGCTCTTTTCAGAACTGCTGGCGTAATTGTCTCAATAACCCCCATTCCGTAGAATGATCACTTTCCATCCAGTGTGTATGGATTCAGCATTGTCACCAATAAATTGACGAAAATTACCTGTAGAAAGTTTAGAAGCTGGTGTCAAATGTTGGGACGAAACATGCTGACCAGATTTGAAGGAATCCCTGGTAGATATAGACTCGGTATCCATCTGCAAAGGTTGAACCACATGCTCAAGAGACAATGTTTGTTCGTCACTAGCACCATTATTTGACCCTGTGTCGTTCTGTGTATCTTCCGTTTCTAGTTGTGTACACATGTGATCAAGTTCTGGAAATGAAGGTCCCTGTTCGAACTCTAAAGAAGTGTCACCAGATTGTGCAGCTGCACATTTCTCAAACAATCGCACTTCAGAATATGAAGAACAGAACCCTTGACAGTGAAGATTGTCTATGAGGCTACGTGAACCATAATTATGATGCATTTGAACCGCCAGTCCAATTTGTAAAGGCGCAGTAATGCATTGTGGTCTTGTGGCTAGTACCATACATTGCCCAATAGTAGCACTAGACCTTTCAATATGGTCGCACGGGAATTCCCCATTCCATTTCATTTCATGGGGAAAGTGCGACCATATTGAAAGGTTCCCAAAAGAGACCTAAACACCCTACATTTCATAAATTCTTACACCAAAAAGACCTAAACTCCCTACATTCCATAAATTCTTACACCAAAAAAGACCTATACACCCTACATTTCATAAACTCTTACACCAAAAACAACTTCAATCAATTCCTACATTCCATCAAAAAAAGCATATTAAAAATACCCTTATATAAAATAACATCCTTGTTCCGCTTAACATCCGGTTTTGAAATAGCCTCGTTTTAAATAATGTTGTTTTTAGTATAGAAACTTCCAGAAGGGAGATATTTCTTTTTTTTCGAAAAAAAAACAGACCACAATTTCTTCGTTAAATTAATTCATTTAAAAATAGGATGAGTTTAATTCTAAAACACGAACAACACAAATTCGAAGATTATTCGAGCGATGGTATCTTTTCATCAATATTTTCTCTAAGTAAAACAATAATTCCAAAAGTAGCTAGCTTTGTTTCAAACAATAAATCACTTATTTCATCCGGCCGTCGGGTCAATCGCGGAAGCGGGAAAGAGTACAAGCGACTCAGTAAAACAATCTGACGAGTTGAAAGAATTACAACTAATAAGAGATCTGCGAAACAGGAGATTAGAAGAAAGGAAAGGAAAAAGTTTTACAGTTATAGGATAAAAATGATTATCGCTCACGCTCCAAAAACTTATTTTGGTTCATTGGGTTCTCTTCCTGGATTTCCATGGGCGAAATATTTCGGAGAAAAAAATCTTCCCGGTCATAATTACACTAATCCAGGTACCAGGTTAGATCTGCGATTAGACGAATACGATAAACCCAAACCCGGCGAAGAACCCGTCAATAGAGTTGACACCACTGCGCTTAAACACGACATACTATACAGAAACAAAGATATAAACTTCAGACACGAAGCAGACAGACAAATGATAATCGAACTTGAAAATATTCCAAATCCAACTTTCAAAGAGAGAATGCAAAGGGCTCTAATCATAAAACTGCTAAAAACAAAGATGAAATTGGGCATGGGATTAGCGGATGAAATTCATAAAAGTTAACGTGTTTGAAAAAGATGAAATATGGTCAGCCGATTTAATTAATATGCCAGTAGAAAGAGGATTTAAATATTGCTCAACAGTTATAGATTTGTATACGAGATATGCTTGGGTTATTCCTGTGAAAAACAAAACAGGACTTTCAGTCAAACACGCATTTGAAACGATTATAAAACAATCTAACCGACGTCCAGAAAAACTGTGGGTAGATAAAGGAAGTGAATTTTATAACAAAAATATGAAATCTCTAGGATTTGAAATTTACAGCACGCATAATGAAGGTAAAGCTGTAGTTATTGAGAGATATAATAGAACTCTAAAAAATAAATTATTCAAAAAGTTCACGGAATTGAAATCCCAAAAATGGCTTAAAATACTACCAGAGGTTGAAGATAAATACAATAACAAAATTCATTCATCTATAGGTGTCACACCAACACAGCCTCAAATAATCCAAATATTATAAAGTCAATTAACACACAACATAACTACATAACAAACCCAAATTTAAAGTTGGAGATCGAGTTCGTATTTTCAAATAAGAAAGCAAATTCGAAAAAGGTTACGTTGGATACTGGACAAACAAAATATTCATCGTTGATAAAATAAACACCCACCTCCGACATATGAATTAATCGATCAAGACAAAGAACAAATCATAGGAAGCTTTTATCAAAACAAACTTCAAAAAACTGACTTTTAAAAAAGGAATGAATTTCTCGAAAACAAAGTTGACGATGAAGAATTTGATAGAAGATTAAGAAATGTAGATGTAGAAAAGCATTTACGCTTTCTTAAATTTAAATGCAAATTTATGTTCAAAATATTATTGAAGGTAATTTATCAGAATGTTACACAATTTTTTTCAAGCACAAACTACGTATATATTTTGTCAATTGGGTTTTCAACAATACTTACCGCATACTCCTCAAAAAACCGACTTTCTCTATAAATATGGAATTGATACAACCACAAACATTCAACTTATGAGATGGGCGAATGAGTTAAATATATCACCGTTTTATTATTGTATGAGAGATGAAATAAATGATCTGAAATATAAGAAAGGTAAATTTTACGCTTTAACAAATATACATACTTTCGATCAAAAAGGAGTTCATCATTCTGCTTTGTACAAAGACTCTTCAAATAACTTATATTTTTTCGATTCTTATGGATTAGAACCAACTGAAGAGATAGTGCAATTGACTAATAAACCAATCAAATGTTCAACATTTCAAATTCAATTACCGGGACAAAAATTTTTTGGTCAGCTTTCACTTTGGGTTTTATATCAATTAAGTTTAGGAAAACAGTTTGAAGAAATTGTAATAAATTTAACTCAATAAAAATGGCGAACAAGTTTGGATTAGGTTCGTTACCTTTAGATACTAAAAAACCTAACACTAGAGCATGGAAAAAATAAAGCGAAACCTTACTTTGTGGATCAAATCGGAGACACTCTTCAAGGTGATTTAGATATGAACAATTTCAAAGTAACTAATTTAAAATCTCTGGAAAATGATAATGACGCTGTTCACAAGAAATATTTACGGGATCAAATAAATTCAACTGAAGTAAATAAAAACCATTTAGACGATAAAATAAGTAATGTTAAAAGATTCTTCAAACGTCAACTAAATAATAAAATTTTGTTAATGATACTAAACTATAACAAGAAAATGAAATGAAATGAATGGAGTTTTACGTCCTACTTTTCTGCATCATGTGTAAACAAGAGGTAGAAGGTTTAATAAGCTTTATTCAAAAAGAATTGGTCAACGTAGTGAACAAAACTGAGTTACAAAATTTAATTTCATTAATATCTAAATTAGATGATAAGATTGCAAAACAAAAATTAGACATTCAACAATTAATAGATAACATTCCAGATGAAAATGAAGAAACGTTTCAACAGGAATTAAATGCTCTGGAAACTAAATTTAACAGTGAATTACAAAAAGAACTAACAAATATTAAACAACAAATACAAAACATAGATGATAGTGAAATTAAAACCTATATTCAACAACAAATACAAATTATTGATGATAGTGAAATCAAAACCTATATTCAACAACAAATACAAATTATTGATGATAGTGAAATCAAAACCTATATTCAACAACAAATACAGAACATTGATGATAGTGTTATTCAACAACAGATAACCACTATTAACAATGTAGTTCTAAAACAGCACAAAAATATAATCGCATTAGAAAAGTATCTCAAGAAAGAAAATAAATCATATTATTTTAGTCTTCCATTTGAAAGTTTGAGACGTGACGATGCTTCTATTACTGATAATATTGATAGATCAAAAGACTATGAATATAAAAAAATATGGAATTACAGCAAATATTAGACTATTTAAACATAGTGGTGTTAATAATCCCTACAAAATGTTTCTTGGTGATTATTCTAGTTTTATTTTCAAAGGAAAACTTATAATTGAAATTATATTATTGATTCAATATTCTTCATACAAAACTCAACATTTTCATCCAATTCTCAATTTAACGCTCGCAAAGTTCTTCAGTTTATCAATGGTACAGAAAATGTAGAAACTAAAGAATTAGAAATTAACGACGAAAACAACAAGGTTAATCACTTATATGAAATTAAAACGAGTGGAAAATATATAGATAGGTTTAGAATGTTAATCATTCCAGATAAAGAAGATAATAATCTTTCATTTAGTGAATTTCAAATGATATTGGAAACGGAAACTCCACCATCAGTAAGTATTATTAGAAATCCAGAACCACAAAAAGAAGCAAGCAGTTATGAGTTTTTACGAGCAACAGACTATGAATACGTAAAACTATACTTTGTTAATAATGATATATTTACCTTAATTGATATTCATAAAAGTCAACAAAAACAAAAATTTTTGATACCAACAATAAGAGATGATGATGCATATGTTATTATATCAATCTGTATTGAAGAACCGTATCTTTCAATTCATCTAAACAAGATTAATGATTCGAAAGTATTTATAGAAGTTTTTATTAAAGATAGTAAACACATAGCAACTTTATCAGAAGTTCACTTAATTTAATTACCTAAAAAATGGAACTAGAAAGCAGACAAAACTACATGATAGAAAAACAAAATGAACTAAAAAAAACTAAAACACTTTAACTAATGCAGAAAGACATGGAGTAGAATTGATTCTGTTTCCAAAACATTAAGTACAGTTCTAACAGTAGGGATAACGGTGGCAACAGCCGTATACGGTGGATTAATGCTTCCAATAATTGTCCCAACTGTATTAGCCACGTTCACTGCCATTCAAACTTCATCTTGTGGATTGATTACTTTAGGTTTTACATCAAAACAGAAATCTCATTATAAAAAGAAAACAGAAATTTTAAATAATTATCTTAATAAATTGTTTATATTTTTTGAAAGATCCAGAGAAGATGAGAACATAACCATTGAAGAATTAGAAAAATTCAATGAAATTTTTAGATAAATTTGATGTAGAAATATCATCAATAAAAGTCAAAAATTCCTAGTTAAAAATTGTTGCTTAAAAAATATGAATAAAATTGAATTCATATCAAATGAACTTTTTTTCAGTATTATTAACCTTATCTCTGATAAATTTGGTACATTTAACGGACAAATTGAATTAGATGGAGAGACAATTCAAGATGGAGAACACAAACAAAGCATGCAATTTAATGCCAAAACTTTTCACAATTTCTTCGCAATAGTGGATGTAAAATCGGATGCTTCTCATTGGTATTTCTCTGGAAAAATCATTTTACGTACAAACAATTTCAAAGAAATAAAAAGATCAAAAAAGGGTAGTGGTGTTACCCTACTCAACAAGATAAATGAATATATCGGTATCAATTGTTATATACCGAGCGATGGATACTGCTTTATAAAGTGCGTTAATCGTGTTTTGAACAAAGACTACACAAAAGAATTTCAAGATTTCATCAACAGTTTTTCAAAATCAAACAGAAAAGGAGTTATGACAACTGCTAGAATCTGTGAATTCAATAAGAAATTTAGTACTTATTTTCAAATTTATATGCCCAAACATAGACATTTTCAACCAAAGAAAGTATCCGAAGAATTAAATTGGGTATTTTACTTACATAAATCGCATTTCTGTCTCATTAGAAAAAATAACAAAACCCTAGGCATTAAAGAAATAGAAGATAATTACGATGAATGGAGAACTTGTAGAGATGATAATGCGCTAACACAATACCTCTAAAACTGAATGTTTCTCCAACAATTCACGATGATTGTTTGGGATTGCGAAACCTATAGCGAAAAAGAAACGAATAAAGCCATTCCTTATTCTTGCACGTTAATTAATTTAGAAAGTCGAAGAGAAATTTTAGACAGAATAAAACATAACTTTCCAGATTTAAATCCCACTGATAGTGTTCCAGAAGAATTTTATAATAAATTAATGAATATAGTAGAAATTTTTGTGGGTAAAGATTGTATCGATCAAATGTTACAACATTTAGGAAAAATAGATAAAAAAAGAATAACATTAATTTCTCATAATGGTAGCGGTTTTGATAACTGGATCGTGCTTAAAAATGCGAAAAAACTAACGCAATGTCAACTAGTAACAGCTAGAGGGATTCTGTCTCTACCTTTAACTAATTCATTCACCAATGAATATTTAAGAAATAAAAAATAATTACGATGAAAACGTATGGAGAACTTGTAGAGATGATAATGCGGTAACTCAAGTTTCACCTCTAAAACTAAATCAACATGAAAAATCTAGTTTGGCAGCATGGGGAAATTCATCTAATCTACCGATGAATTTGAGAAAGATCACCGATATTAATATTGCAAAATACACCGAAGATAATTGGGAATCTTTAAGACACAAATGGGAACCTTATGCTAAAAGAGATACATTATGTCTCGGAGCTTGTTTGATAAAATATAACAAAGTTATGAAAGAAGTTGTATTTCAGAATATTTCCAATAATCTAACGGCTCCTTCTTTATCTTTCAAGGGTTGGTATTATTTATATCATTACAATAAAGAAATGGTTGAAGAAGAATGGTATGAAAGTACTAGAATGGTTCCGAAACACACCGAAAAAGAAAACGTAGAAAAAGTTTACTCACATACACACCCTTTTATAAGATATTTTATCAGACAATCCATTAAAGGAGGAAGAGTTTCGGCAAATCGAAAATCATTTGAAACGAATAAAATGGATGAAATTTGTAATATATTAAAGGAATTTATTTCACAAAGTGAAACACCAAGTGATAATATAATTGATTTATTTAAAGAGTATAGTAAAAGTAAAAAAGATAAAACGGAAGTTAATTCAAAACTTAAAAAAATAAAATGTACTAAACTAATGGCCTTTGATGCTAACAGTTTGTACACTTCCGCCATGTCGGATTTATAAAGCGAATATCCAAAAGCGGAAAGTGGTAGACCGTTTCTACTGAAAGAAAATAAAGAATTTGTTAAGCTCTTTAATGAGCAGAAATTCAGACCTAGAATGGCTATTTTAAAAGTCTGGTTTGAATATCCTACCAAGATGTTCTTCCAACCCATACCAGCTAAAGATAAAATTACTTTTACAAACAAAGAAGGTAATAAGGAAACTGGCACTAAAATCAGGTTCAGAAATGGTTTCTGTTCAGAAGTTTTAACATCGGTCGATATTCAAGAAATAGTCAAAGCCGGTGGACGAATTATTAGAATATTAGATGGTATAGTATACGAAGAAAATTTTAAAACTCCACCATATAGAGATTATATTTTAATTTTGAGAGATCTAAGAAATAAATATAAACAAGGAGGTAATATTGTAGGTAGTAATTGCATGAAATTATTAGGTAATTCATTGTATGGGAAATCTATTCAGAAGGATATAACTACATCGAGACATTTATGGAGTGAAGCAACTTTAAAAGCCAACTTCGATTCCCACGTCAAAAGCTATCCTAAAGTAAATGAGACTCAATATATCGTTGAGATAAATGAAGAAGAAAAAGAATTTGACTGTATACCTCATAAATCTACAAGACTAACACTTACTCATTTGGGATCATTCGTATTATCTCACAGTAAAAAAATAATGAATAATTTTATTCACGTAATAGATGGATTTTATAAGCCAGAAATATACTATACAGATACTGATAGTTTATACATTTCGTCTAGCAATTGGGATAAATTAAATGAAGCTGGGTTGGTGTCCGAAAATGATTATTGTAAAGGAAAGAATGATTATGGTGATGGTGGAATTATATATGGTTTATATTTAGCGCCAAAAGTTAAATATATTATTTTAACTTTTGACGGTATTCTTAAAGAAAAGATAACGTTTAAGGGTTACTCTAATGATAAGATAGCTGTAGAAGATTATATTCGATTAGCTAGTGGACATGATGTGACGAATGAATTTAAGAAACCATGGGAAAAAAGTTTCACCAATTGAGTAGTTATTCCAAAGGATGATGATAAACAAAAGAAAGTTTTTAGAAGTTATCTGAATCTCGTTAAGAGAAAAGCACCGGACGATGAAGGAATCATGTATCTTATAGTGATAAAGATGACTTGAGTTTGGATGAAAACTATGAATTTGATGATTTCGATTATCTAACTATTCAAGAAGAGAATGAAGAGTGTTAATTTTTTTGTTTTAAATGAAGTTGAATAACAATTTCCTTGTTACCAAAATCTATACACCTATTTTTACCATCTTTGATTTCCAGATTTATATCTTTAATCATAAAGGAATTAAGTGGTAAATATGTCGGTTGAAATGATTTCTCTATAATTCTATATCCAATCGGTACAGTGAATGTTGGAATACCGCAAATAATCTGACGTTTGTATTTATTGAAAAATCCACCGTTTATTAAATTGCAATGTATATTTATCACATCGATATCATTCTCGATATTAACTTTGTGTGGTGCTAAAGTGGATTGCATGTATATTTGTTTATCAAATCCTAGTAACGCATTCAATGAATTTTCTACATTGAAATCAACTTGACTATTATTTCTTAATATCAATTTTATTTTGTTCAGATTCAAATTACCTTCGAATTCAATATTGTTTTTACCATTTACACTTCCTCCATATTTAGATAGATATTCATTAATTGCTACGTATTCGTAGCTTCCTGGTAATAAACGTATGGTTTTGAATGTAACTCCATTATCTGTTGATATTTTTATTTGGTTATTTTTTTCGTTGATATTTCTAATGAAATTGTAAACAGAGAAATACTTTAATCCCAATTCATATTTTTGATTGCGATCAAGTTCGTACTCATAATCTACAGACAATTTAATGTCTGATTTATTTGAGGTGATAACGAATAGTTGTTCTTTATTTGACATTTTTAATAACACATTTATAGTCATTTTTATCTATGATAATTTTCTCTAGGAGTCTTTTTAATATACAATTTACTTCATTATATTGTCTGTGTGATCGATGTCCTTCCTTCATTGCCGCTAATATTACTCGTAATCTATTAAGTAGTTCCTCGTTGTTGTCGGATAAAAACGTTATACCTTGTCCAGATACCATATTTTCGAATTCGTCTATTGCTTGTGTGATTGGATTGTTGTCTTCAGCATAATCATCTACTTCGTCAACTTCGTATTCATCATCTTGATATATAGTTTAACTTCTTTTTTAATCTTCTTGTTTAGGGTCCCGACTTTCTTATTGCATCTAGAAATTTTGAGTATGCAACTAAATCCTTATAATCGGCAATACCAGCATCCTCCCCATTCATTAAATCTATTAATCCTTTTGTTAATGTGTATATATAATCTTTTGTATCGATTATAAATTCGGGGGTATTTGCCCTAAATCTTATTCTAAAACCATTAAACAGTAACCCCGCTTCATCAATGATTGGTGAAATGATTTTTGGTAAATCTGGGTGAGGGTTTGAAAAATAATGTTTTGCATCATCTACTGTCCTAATTATGATTTCATCATCTTTAATGGGATATTCTATTTGATGAGGAGAAGGAAACGGCGGTTGTTAAATTTGTTTAGGTGTGGGTTCTAAGCTAATTTCTTTTTAATATCCTCTTGACTTTTTAATATTGGTTGAAATAGAGTTTGTAGATTTTCTGTTAATCCAAGTTGTTGTAATTTGTTATTTTCAACTTGGGTCTTTATTTTATTCTTAGCTTTGATATACTGTCCTTTTATTTTTTATTTTATTTTTTTTTTTGTTACTGTCCTTTTATAATATTATTCCAATCACTACTCATTTTTAAAAAATAAAATTAACATATATCTGTCATAACTCTTTCACCTGCAGGTTTTCTAGTATTAAAGAATATATATCCATGATCATCTGGGTTTTTCCATTGAGTTTTACAAACCTTTTTAAATCGATCTCTGTCCATTCCATGATTAATCGATTGAATGATTTGAGATAAATCTTTATCGTTAAATTCAAAAAATAAAAAACAATTTGCATTTTTTCTAATCAACATAGAATCCATCCCATAAAAAGATTGGGATTGGTATATGCAGTGACAGTTGTGATGTCTTCCTTTCGTGAAGAATTCTTGTTGAACAGCTTGATTTCTTTGCGCTACGCAGTCGTCAAATAATATTAAGTTCTTTCGATTGCTATCAATATTAGACAAGTCTAGATCATTAACATTTTTCATAAGAAAAACTTTTATATCCGTTGGATTCTTTGCTTCAATGTAGTTATCTATAATATCTTTTATTTCCACTTCTTCTTCATTTTCTTCATAATATTGAAATATGTCTTGAACATCTTTCTTTGATAAATATTCTAAAGCTTTGAGGAATTGATAATACGATTGCTCTGGTGTTGTTGTGAAGATAAATAGTGAATCGAAATCTAAAAGGTTTGGTGTTGTTATAAGTGAGATGACTTTACCAAGAACCGGAACTACCGCTTAAATGAGCATTGGGTTTTTAGGAAATATTTCTGAATGATTAGATTTTTTGCCCATTTTTTATTATTTTATTTTATTCCAAAAATCACTCCATCTCCTTTATACTTTGAAAGAAGTGCCTATCATATCTGCCACTCCTGAACCTTTGACTTCCTTTCCATTATTAAATTATATCTGCGTTCTTCAGCGGCTTTAGCATCAGCTGCTTTCTTTGCGTTGGCAGCTTTGACTGCGGCAGATAAACCCGCCGCTGCAATACCACCAAATATTAAAGGTAGTAGGAAAGGTAAAAATCCACCTTCTTTTGCGTTCGCGTCAATTCTTTTTAAGTCTATATCGTCTCTGACTTACAATATTTGTATTTATCAATAAGTTTTTTAGTTATGCTGATTTTTTTACCATTGAAAGTTATTACAGTTGGGGAAGCTGTTTCAATAGCTTGTATTATTTTCATAACTAAAGTTTCTGGTTTCATTTTTAAGGGGGTATTTTTTACTCAATTCTTATCATTCTTCTATCTGCTATTTTAATTAGATGTTTTGATTCTTCGAGTAGTAAACAATTGCCGGTCACATCTCCTTGTGTTTTTTCAATATGAATATTTATGTTCACTCCTGTTTTGAAAAGATCTTCTTGGTGAGCTGATAAATCAAAACAGAAGATTGGATGATTAAGTGCAAAATCTACATATTCAAACTGAGGTGGATTTCCAAATGATTCACACATGTTTTTATAGTTTCTATACAATTCATTATAATCCTTTGTGGTTGGATTAATTGTTAAAGGTTGGTTAGGATAATTATCGTTGTTTAATCTTACTTGAACTTTATGGATTATAGGATCTTGAGTTTGGTTCGTTGCTACTCTAAAGATATTATTGTTATTCGTCTGAGAGTCCTTGAAACCAACCATTAAATATCTTGCTGGTTCAATAGTGTTAGTGATAGGCCATGTGGTGGATTCTCCAGTTAAAGTCATGCTACCTACCGTATTACGATGAAGAAAAGCTATTTCAATATTTTAGTTAATGAGTTGAATATTCTCGTTTCTACTTCAATTGATGGTGTTATTACGGGTATGAAAAATTGGAGATTCGTTATTTCTAATTTTGCATTTGAAGCATTCTCTCCAAAGAATATCCATGATTAGCTGCTTGTGCTACTCTTTCTTTTATGTTTCAAACAACAACTCTCACTCTAGCTAAATCAGCATCATTTGCAAGATTTCTTACCGGTTCTTTTAAAACACTTCCATCGCCAACATCGGGTATCCAACCTGAGACTGAATCGAAATCTTTAGGATATAAAATTGTTTTCAACATTGTGTCGAATTCCCCAGGGTGTTTAATTGTTTCTATCTGATTTGAACAAGCTTCCAAAACCATCTCGCTAAATAAAGATGGAAAGAAATTGTTTTCTAACATTGTAGTAGTTTGTGGTACACGATTTTCATTGGGAGTTCCATCTTTAATTTTGAAATCACATCTGAAATAAGCATCTGAAAGAAGAAACCAATTCGATAATGAATTTATTTCGAAGGTAATTCTACCACCATCGTTCAATTGGGATTTAGAACCAACAGTCGGTGAGATGATAATATAATCCTCTTTTTTCTTGTTAAATGAATAACGAATTGGATCGTATAATCTAAAGATTGGATCCAGTATTTTATTTGCCATTTTTAAGGTTTAAAAATTTAGTAGAATATTGTCTCCCTTCTAGAAGTTTCTAGAGGCTATTTTAAAACCGGATGTTAAGCGGAACAAGGATGTTATTTTATATAAGGGTATTTTTAATATGCTTTTTTTTCTTTGTAAAGAACATAGTTCATCGGGATCCGGATAATACTCTTTAGAAAATTTGACATATTTCTGAATGATTTCGCTTTTTATCAAAGCAGCACTAGCCATTATTATTCTACGTTTCTCTGCGTTTTCATTATCTGTTTGAATTTGATTCCTATGATACTGCTGAAGAATTTCCGCGGCAGTTCGATTCAATGTAATTCACGTCCACTTACATTTGAAATGATTACACTGACTCTTAGAGTATTCTGTAATTTTATTTTCATATATTTGATGCTGTACGGCTCTTCGATCAGATTTCCCATTTCTTCTACAAGGTCACTGACCGACTTCTGTTCGTCTTCTTTAGCTATAAAATTTTCCAAGACTTCGAAAGCTAACTCTCTTGACAGATCTGTTGGGCGACCAGCTTTTCGACCACTGATTTCCAATATGTTAGAGTAGGTTCTATATTTCATAGGTATTTGCCTACATGTTCTGAAATTAGTATCGCACATTTTATGGTAGCATGCATCCGCAGCATGTAAGTCACCCACACTTTGAATTCAGCCTTTCACGGAAAACTCCCCAATCATCTCCCCTTTCGTCACAAATATCTGAAATCATCCTCTGGAATGAAAAACTTCGTACTAAACATAACTGATCTTTCTTTCTTGGTATCGATGAAAGTTGTACATTGATTTTGGAAGTTAAATACACCCTGTGAGCGTCGTTTAGGTGGACGTGGACAATCTTGTTCCAAGATTAGCACTAAACACCAGCGGGAACTACATTCTGTAAAAACTGTCATGGCGTCGTTCTAACGTCAAGGTGACGTCACAGATCAATGACGTTATGATTTTTTAGCTCAGAGGGGTCGGTTTCCTATTTGCACTTAATACATTATTTTTATCTAGAGTGCATCATTTTAGAGATATTGATGATTTTATGCATCCATGACGGCCATTTTGGATTCAAGCAAATTAGTCATGGTTGCCATGGCAACCGATCCACCTGGTTTTGTGTATAGGTTCTTACATGTATATAAGTCATTTCTGGTGAAAAACAAAATCTTGCAATTTGTTCTAGGTATAATGTTATCTTCACCCGCCTATATCCATAGATTAATAGGCCTTTCTAGTGGTTAATCCAAACATTAGTTTGTCAATCAACCACACAAAAGCTTCGCCAAGCTCGGGGAAGCCCTTGGTGTATTTAGGTTCAGGAATGAGGTAATGGCGTCATGGCTAGAGATAAATTGAAGAGTTTATCCACATTTTCGTAATTCGAAATATTTAGTCCAGCAGAGGAGAAAAGCAATATGGTAAGTAAGAATATACTTAAAATGATAACAATTTTTCACCTTGAACAAATGGAAACATATTTTGCACTGGCATTAGAATTTTCTTTGTTATGATGGACATTTCTCTTTTAAAAATAATAACCAATCAAATTAAACATTGGAAATCGGGACTATTGGAAATGTAAATTTTCTAAATGTAATTTTTTACAGAAAAAAGCAAGAAAAAGTTGTATACATAAAAGATAGCTTGCCAGGCAAGGTAATATAAACCCACTTTGATTTTGAATAAAAATATTTAGCAGTACAGTAACATTCACCAGTATGAAATGTTCAACCTTCAGTCATACACTTCTTTTGAACTCTTTAGGGCGATACTGAATAATATTGAGTAGAATTATTTCCCTTGTTCTTGAAAACGTGTTCAATTTTTAGCTCGTGAAAACTCTAGAAGGCAAATATTCAATCTTCAGCACAGGACTGAATAATAAAACCAAGTTTTGTCACAATCCAGCAAGAATCATACTTTTTAGTGTTTAACACTTTAACTGCCGAATATTTTTTTTTAGAAAATTGACATTTTGTGGTACCTTTTTTCAAAAGCATGTGACTCCAAAACAGTGGGATGTAGGCACCAAGTGTCAATAAATAAAATATTCAGTGATATTTGTATGTTACCATGGAAATATTCATTTTTGTGACGTCATCATCTTATCATTGTGACATCACCTTGGCAACAATAGGTTCAAAACCTAAAATTAGTAGATTTTTGTTAAATTAACAATTTTCATCATGTTACAAGTTTATGAATATTTGGCAACTTCAGGAATTCGACTTTTATCATTATTTATATTATCACCGTCAATATCAACACATTCCAAATCCGATGGCCATTCGTCTTCAGATGTCAAAAATTCGCCCTCAGAGTCACTATCGGCGTAGATATGAGTTATAACAGCTTCAACAATCAATTTACGGCCATTCTATGGCCGTTTTACATCAAAATACAATCGAAAGTTGATCGAAATACATGACAGCGGAATTGTTTACATTGACAATCGCTATTTAGGTCATCTGCTGCAGTTGAATAGCCATCATTAGAGCCGTAAATTTCGTATCTATCTATATAGGATGTCTATGGTTATGACGCCATAAAAACTCAAATTTCGCGACGTCTTTTCACAAATATTACCTATTTTCAATTTGATTGGGATTTTTTATAGAAGAAACATGCATGTTTTTTTGTCTACAAATTACCACCGATATCTAAATCTGATTATATATATATCAACACCGTTTTCATAGTGGTAGTTTCTTATTTATTTAAAGTGGCGGTCGCATGGGTAGAATGTCGCAATATTGTGACCGTGGCAGTTAAGGCGTTTTCAAGAACAAGGGCAATAACTCATACTAAATATTTTTCAATTCTTCTGATTTTCAATAGGGTTCATCCTTGGGTGATTACAAACAACCATATCAAGTTTCGTCGAAATCAGTCAAGAATTGTGCCTTGTAGAGTGTTTACAAGCAATTGTGGACGGACGGACGAACGCGTTTTCAAGAACAAGGGCAATAACTAATACTTAATATTTTTCGATTCTTCTGATTTCAATAGGGTTCATCCTTGGGTGAATACGAAAACTCACACCAGGTTTTGTCAAAATCCAGCAAGAATTGTGCCTTCTAGGGTATTTACGAGCTAAAAATTGAACGCATTTTCAAGAACAAGGGCAACAACTCATACTAAATATTTTCAAAAGGGTTCATCCTTGGGTGAATACGAACATTCACAACAAGTTTCATCACATTCCGTCAAGAATTGTGCCTTCTAGAATGATTACAAGCTAAAAATTGAACGCGTTTTCAAGAACAAGGGCAATAACTAATACTAAATATTTTTCGATTCTTCTGATTTCAATAGGGTTCATCCTTGGGTGAATACGAACACTCACACCAGGTTTTGTCAAAATCCAGCAAGAATTGTGCCTTCTAGGGTATTTACGAGCTAAAAATTTAACGCATTTTCAAAAACAAGGGCAACAACTCATACTAAATATTTTTCGCTTTCTCACTAGGTTTATCCTTGGATGATAACAAACACTCATGCCAAAATCCGTCAAGAATTGTCCCTTCTAGAGTATTTACAAGTTAAAAATTGAATGCGTTTTCAAGAACAAGGGCAATAAATCATACTAAATATTTTTAGATTCCTCTGATTTTCAATAGGGTTTATCCTTGGTTGATAACAAACACTCATGCCAAGTTTCGTCAAAATCCATCAAGAATTGTGCGTTCTAGAGTATTTACGTGCTAAAAATTGAACGCGTTTTCATGAACAAGGGCAATAACTCATACTAAATATTTTAGATCTTTCTGATTATAAATAGGCTTCATCCTTGGGTGATAACAAACACTCACACCAAGTTTCATCAAAATCCGTCATGAATTGACTTCGCATTAGTTAATATTCGTATTCGTTCAATTAATATTGAATGGGATAATATTGTGACCATCCGATTTATGAAGGAGATTTGTCTCATCTATCTGCCTTTGTTTTTGAGCAACAAGGGCAATAACTAATACTAAATATTTTTCGATTCTTCTGATTTCAATAGTGTTCATGCTTGGGTGAATACGAACACTCACACCAGGTTTTGTCAAAATCCAGCAAGAATTGTGCCTTCTAGGGTGTTTACGAGCTAAAAATTGAACGCATTTTCAAGAACAAGGGCAACAACTCATACTAAATATTTTTCGCTTTCTCACTAGGTTTATCCTTGGATGATAACAAACACTCATGCCAAAATCCGTCAAGAATTGTCCCTTCTAGAGTATTTACAAGTTAAAAATTGTACGCGTTTTCAAGAACAAGGGCAATAAATCATACTAAATATTTTTCGATTCCTCTGATTTTCAATAGGGTTTATCCTTGGTTGATAACAAACACTCATGCCAAGTTTCGTCAAAATCCATCAAGAATTGTGCGTTCTAGAGTATTTATGTGCTTAAAATTGAACGCGTTTTCATGAACAAGGGCAATAACTCATACTAAATATTTTCGATCTTTCTGATTATAAATAGGGTTCATCCTTGGGTGACACTCACACCAAGTTTCATCAAAATCCGTCATGAATTGACTTCGCATTAGTTAATATTCGTTCAATTAATATTGAATGGGATAATATTGTGACCATCCGATTTATGAAGGAGATTTGTCTCATCTATCTGCTTTTGTTTTTGAGCACTGATGCTATTCAGAAATACTAGCTAGTAAAAAAATAAAACAATAACATACCGGACATATTCTTTTTTATTTTCTTCTGTTAACGGGATGTTTTTACCTCCAGGTTTTAACTCATGTTCCTGAACTTTACCAAAAGAATTATGTTCTACAGAAAATGTGTGATCTAGTACTTCTTCTATGTCATTTTCTCTGCAACAATAAAATACACATAAATAGGTAGTAAAAACATACGCCAGTGGCAGCTTTGTTTGAATTTAAATCACAATCATGAAATCATACATTTTAAGAGAACATTTTTGGTTTTTAAAAGAAATCTTCCTCCACCAATTTTCATCCAATTCTGTCTTAAACTTTGTCAGTAAGTCATATTCGTTATTTTCTTTTTTTTTATATTGAAGGCCAGTGTATTCCAGAACAATCTACAACTAAAATTCAATGACTCCATTGACAGGGTGGTTGAAATTGTTAGTATTTTACTTTGCAGATATGACTTTTTTTTGTGTGTTTGCCAATGGGATTAAGCATGAGTGGCCAAACCTTTACAGATTCAGCTCTGCATTGGAGTTCGGAAAACAAATTTCATGAATGAGTCAGTCAGTCATATGTTTGATGATTTCTACTTTGCAGGGTCTGCTGATTCTGACTTATGTTGAGCATCTTTAATCTCTTTCTTAAATCTAGCTGATTACAGGGCTGTTTATTTTTTTGGCAACCGGACATTTTTCTACGACCTGTGAAATCTGATCTAAATTTCCCTTTGAGAGAATGTCTATTATAAAGATTATAAACCGGTATTAGACATGATGTTTTGCTTTTCAAATACCTTTTTGGTTTTCCTGATGATTGCCATAATTGACTGTGAAATGTATATTTTCTGTCATATTTTCACAGACTGACGCATCCCAAACAATTCCAAAATCAATAGATAAGATAAGATCCATTGAAAAGAATCTAACCAATCTAATTTCCTGCCATCTTTAATATTCTAACAGTAGCTTAGCTCCTTCCACTGGGATAAGATTGTATTGAGTTCCATTATAGAACAACACTTGATTGACAGCTGAATGTTTCAACTTCATTGAGGTAATTTAAGAGAGAAAAAAAATAAAACTACAACAAACACACTTTAAAGGAGGTTATTAGGTCAAATATTACAGTTTTCCGAATATAAGATCGTTTTTTACAGTAGATTATATTTAAAAATTTTTGTTTATATTGGTCCGAAATTCAAATAAATACTTTAAGAGGGTAAATTTTAAAAAAAACAACAATGTTTTGATATAGGTCAGAATTATCTTGCTTAGATTAAGGGAGATAACTATGTTTCAATTTCCAAATGTAAACAAAAGAAGTACCATTAATAGACAATAGAACGGTTGATTGATTAAAGGATTTATGCCAAGACGTAAAATTTCCCCTTAATTACAATGATTTTTACCTATAATCATTGACAAGGGCTTAAAAATGTCTCCCAGAACAATATTTTTGACAAAAACCTTAGATTTCTGACTCTGGTCGCTTTCCAGCCGAGAGTTAATTAGGCTAGCAGTCAGCTGATCTATGACGTCATAGACGACACTCGATAGACTAGCAGTCTGCCGTCTATAGTTGAAGCTGCCAATGCCAATTCAAGGAACAGGGAAATGTCCTAGATAGACCAATTGTCAGCTGTAACGAAAAATCAGCTCCTTCATCGGGGAACACCTCAGGGAATTTGTATCAAAATACCTGAGTTACATAAAAGGCACCACACAATTCATGCAAAAATTCCAATGCCCCACACTAAAACAACTACACTGGCCCAGGAACCTGTTTAGATTTACTATTAGATTCAAACGATAATCCCAATCCAGGAGAAGAACCTTTTAACAGAATAGACCGAGTAGCACTAAAACATGATATTCTATACAGAGATCATACAGACTTAGAATCTAGACAAAAAGCAGATCAACAAATGATTCCCGAATTGAAATCTATTCCAAATCCCACTTTTAGAGAAAAAGTTGAAAGAGCTCTAGTAACAAGACTTAACTTTTAAAATCAAAAAAGAAATTAGGCATGGGAATAGCAGATGAAACTGCTATGAATTCAGAAAAACTAAAAACTTTTTAAAAGCTGATTTAATTAATATGCCAGTTGAAAGAGGATCATATTATTTAACCGTTATAGATTTATATAACGTTATAACGCCTTGAAATTTGTTAAAAATAGTTCGTTAGCAGGATTGAAGCTACAGTTTTCAACTGATTCTGATGAAACTTGGTGTGATCATTGGAATTCATAAGATCTCGGACAAATTCTAACTTGACGCATTTTCGATGAACGGTTTTTGAGTTATTGCCCTTGACTTTGTTAAAATGCGTCGAAATTTGTTAAAAATAGTTTGTGAGCAGGATTGACGCTACAGTTTTCAACCGATTCTGATGAAACTTGTTGTGATCATTGGAATTGGTAAGATCTTGGACAAGTTCTAACAAGAGATATTTTTAAGGAAACTTTTTATGAGTTATTGCCCTTGACTTTGTAAACACGCGTCAAAAGTTGTTTTTTGCCCTTGATTAGAGCTGTGTGATTTAATTGATTGTTGTATTTGGGTTATTGATATTGATTTTAAAAAATTTTGTGGAATTATTCAGCATGAATAATTTCTTCAATATGAGAAAATTCGTACTTTAGTCACTAAAGACTGTTTTATTATTTCTGACAGCTGCCAGTGGGCGTATGTTACCTTGCAAGGCAAGCTATCTTTCACTTTTATTGATGATATTTCTACATCAAATTTATCTAAAATTTCATTGAATTCTTGTAATTCTTCAGTGGTTATATTCTTATCTTCTCTTGATCTTTCGAAAAATATAAATAATTTATTAAGATATGTATTTAAAATTTCTGTTTTCTTTTTATAATGATGCATTTTTGATGAACGGTTTTCGAGTTATTGCCCTTGACTTTGTAAAAACGCGTCATAATTTGTTCGCGAGCACAATAGAAGCTACAGTTTTCAACCGATTCTGATGAAACTTGGTGTAATCATTGAAATTGATAAGATCTCGGACAAGTTCTAACTTGACGCATTTTCGATGAAATGTTTTTGAGTTAATGCCATTAACTTACGAAAAAACGCATCAAAATTTGTTTGTGAGCACAATAGAAGCTACAGTTTTCAACCGATTCTGATGAAACTTGGTGTGATCATTGGAATTGATAAGATCTCGGACAAGTTCTAACAAGAGATATTTTTAAGGAAACTTTTTATGAGTTATTGCCCTTGGCTTTGTAAACACGCGTCAAAAGTTGTTTTTTGCCCTTGATTAGAGCTGTGTGATTTAATTGATTGTTGTATTTGGGTTATTGATATTGATTTTAAAAAACTTTGTGGAATTATTCAGCAAGAATAATTTCTTCAATATGAGAAAATTCGTACTTTAGTCACTAAAGACTGTTTTATTATTTCTGACAGCTGCCAGTGGGCATATGTTACCTTGCAAGGCAAGCTATCTTTCACTTTTATAGATGATATTTCTACATCAAATTTATCTAAAATTTTGATTGAATTCTTGTAATTCTTCAGTGGTTATATTCTTATCTTCTCTTGATCTTTCGAAAAATATAAATAATTTATTAAGATATGTATTTAAAATTTCTGTTTTCTTTTTATAATGAGATTTCTGTTTAAACTAAATGTTTTTCCAACAATTCACGATGATTGTTTCTACGCATGGGATTGCGAAACCTATAGCGAAAAAGAAACAAATAAAGCCATTCCTTATTCTTGCAGTTTTGATAACTGGATCGTGCTTAAAAATGCAAAAAAACTAACACAATGTCCACTAGTAACAGCTAGAGGCATTCTATCTCCACCTTTAACTAATTCATTCACCGATGAATATTTACAGAAAAAATTGAAAAGACAAAAACAAATAATTGGCAACTCTGCAAAATATTAATTTTATATGTTCCTATCAACATGAAAAATTTCGCAGCATGGGGCAAGTGATCTAATCTACCAATGAATTTGAGAAAGATCACTGATAACAATATTGCAAAATACACCGACTAATAAGTTGTATTCCAGAATATTTCCAATAATTTAACAGCTCCTTCTTTATCTTTAAAGGGTTGGTATTTTTTTGTATCATTACCATAAAGAAATGGTTGAAGAAGAATGGTATGAAACTACTAGAATGGTTCAAAAAGACACTGAAAAAGAAAATATAGAAAAAGTTTACTCACATACACACCCTTTTATTAGATATTTTATCAGACAATCCATTAAAGGAGAAAGAGTTTCGGCTAACAGAAAATCATTTGAAACGAACAAAATGGATGAAATTTGTAATGTATTAAAGGAATACACAGAACTCGAGAGTAGTAATATAATTGATTTATTTAAAGAATATAGTAAAAGTAATAAAGATAAAACGGAAGTTTAATTCATAACTTAAAAAAATAAAATGTACTAAACTAATGGCGTAACGGTTTGTATGCTTCTGCCATGTCAGATTTAGACAGCGAATATCCTAAAGCGGAAAGTGGAAGACCATTTCTACCAGAAGAAAATAAATAATTTTTTAAGCAGAAATTCAGACCTAGAACAGCTATTTTAAAAGTCTGGTTTGAATATCCTACTAACATGTTCTTCCAACCCAAACCAGCTAAAGATAAAATTACAATACGAACAAAGAAGGTAATAAGGAAATTGGTACTAAAATCAGGTTTAGAAATGGTTTCTGTTCAGATGTTTTAACATCGGTTGATATTCAAGAAATAGTTAAAGCTGGTGGACGATTTATTAGAATATTAGATGGTATAGTATATGAAGACAATTTTAAAACTCCACCATATAGAGATTATATTTTAATTTTGAGAGATCTAAGAAATAAATATAAACGAGAAGGTAATCTTGTGGGTAGTAATTACATGGAATTATTAGGTAATTCCTAGTATGGTAAATCTATTCAGAAGGATATAACTACATCGAGACATTTATGGAGTGAAGCAACTTTAAAAGCCAACTTCGTCAAAAGCTATCCTAAAGTAAATGAGACTCAATACATCCTTGAGATAAATGAATAAGAAAAATAATTTGATATTATACCTCCTAACTCTACACGACACCTAATCATTTGGGGTCATTCGTATTATCTAACAGTAAAAAAATAATGAATAATTTCATTCATGTAATAAAT